ACATATGAGATTTTACAGTATTTTTTAATACAAACACTGATATCTGTGAACTGCTTGGTGTTATATGCACTTGCTGATTTTAATTTTCCTTTTAGACATTTATTATGGCTATGAGAACAACACACATAATCTATTTTGCCTGTACTTTGGACTGCAACATATAAAGATGTTTCAAAATTTAGGAAATTTGACAATCAGATCAATAAGCATAGCTACATACAAGCAGAGGATAAATATGTTGTTGTTTTTATGTGTTTGAAATTACTTGCCAATATACATTGCACTTTTTTCTTAAACGAACCACTCGACATATTGGGTATTAATCTTAATCGCATTCCGCTTGCAGTAATATTACAACTGATGCTACTCTTATATCTGTTGCTTCACATCGCTTTGTTGGCTTAGCTTACCGTAAAGATCGGAGACAAGGAGAAAGTATGAATACATCTATAAGTTATTGTCCTAAATGTTACCTCTTGACTTTCTGCACTTTGTACAGCTTCATCAAACAAGAAACAAAGTATTAATGTAAGCTAAGTTTTTCATGATTGCTCATAAGTACATTTTGTTGCCTTTGGACTGAGCTTGGTGAGCCAATTTCCTTGTCTCCAAAGTCTTTTGCAATGCTAAGCTAACTAGCTGTTATGATATTCTCATATGGACTAGATTGATAATATGTCTCTATAACATTTTCCATCAGTTACACCAGGATTAAGAGATTCCTTCTTAATTGTGCACTATATGTCTTTTCTATCACTGGAACCAATAATACAGTGAGACTGAAGAACATTGTGTTAATGTTAAGGTAGATGCTTAACAGTTCTCTTTGTTTTCCTACTACCCCTAGTGTAGCTTGCACACAGCTGAAGAAGGCTGGGAAAGAGTCATCTTTAGCTCTCTGTAATGAGACCAGTACCACCACCACAATCATGTCACCTTCATCATTACAAAGTAGCACAGAGCCCAAACGGCTAACACAGGCCAGCCCTGAGCCTGACCCACACACCCTGGCTTTTCCCTCAAGCGGATCTTCATGTGACCCAACAACAGGCAGCCTCCGGAAGCTGCGAAGGGTTCGGATGCTCAGGAGGAGCTGGAGTACCTTAATGCCAGGTTCCAGGAGCTTAGAAGTACTGTTTGAAAAGACCAAAGCCATACTTACAGGGAAGAATGATAGTCAGAATTTACAGTTTCAAGATCCCCCAAAAGAGCAGATGACATTTTCTGCCAAAACCTTACCCACGAGCTTGTCCCAAGGTTCAGTTGCCTGTAATTCAACTGGTGAACAGCTGCTAAGAGGAGCCTCTCTGTTGATGCCCGAGCAAACAGCACCGAGGCTGGATACAGGTGCATGGAAGTGCCGTGGGCCGTTCAGTCACTGCTTCCTCAGGAGAAAGTCGAATACTCATGCCGGTGATGAAGGTGGAGAGATAACCTCACATGATCTGCACTTTGACAGCTCAGTTTCTTTCTATGGCAAGGAAAACACTATCTTGAGAAACTACAAAGCTGAATGGAGCAAAATGGCCTCATATATGAAGAACATGAGCCTCAAAGATCGGCTTGCTCACATTAACTCAATGAAAGGAAAAACCTACAGCCTTCACACGGGGTTCGCACTTGCACGGAAGGATGCCTTAGAGATGATTGGTGTGTTGCGTTCAAGTGTAGGCCAGCCTTCCAGAATTGCCATGCCTGAGGTCAGCGAGGCTGACATGGAAACGTTCGCCCAGCTGCTTCTCATGCAGGCCAAAGTGCTGAGCAGCGCCTGCAGTCAGATGGCGGTGGAGTACAGTAGCCCAGAAGAGCTGCTGCTCACGCTGACGCACAGCTTCCACACTCTGTGCTGCCTAACACAAGCCTGCATGTCACTAGTAGAAGGCCTGAGCACCGACAGTGAACGGCGCGAGGTGGTAGCCAAGGTGGATGAGGTCGTCATGAACTACGTGTGTCTTCTGAAAGCTGCTGAGGCAGCTTCAGGAGGCTCCCCCGGTGACCAAAGTGTGAATGCATTGTCACATTATTCTGCCACCATGTCTGCTATTCTAAACACACTAACTCACTCACTGAACACACTGCTAAACAAAAAAACTGTTATTTTGTCTTGATTATTGATTTCAAAGCCATACATAAGAGACATGGGTTTAACAACCAATGTGAACTGCTGTGAAAAAAATTTAAAAAACTTGCCTTGTGTATACAGTATTTTATTATGTAAAGAAAATATATGATTATACGAATAATTAAAGTTTTAAATAGATTATATTAAGGCCTATATTAAAAAGCATATGACTCTCTTCTCAAATATATTATCTAATATTACTTCATAGGGATTATTTTCAGGATTTATTGGTTTTATTGACAGCTTAACATGTAGATTGACACAAACTTATTAGTATCTTGTTTATAACTTGTAAAAAAAGTACACAGCTGAAGAAATGCATACACTATATAAAGCTCTAAACAAATCGCTGCACAGGACAAGAGATGATAAAGCTGAAGTAACGCGTACAATATTTTCATTTGCTTGAGTCACTTAATTTAATGAATACTTTACACATAAACACTGAGAACTTTCCTGTTATTTTTGTCAATGTCATTAAAGAAATTAAAACTTTTTAAAAAGTATGAACTGTTTTGTTGTCTGTTTCTGTTTCACTCTGCTCGCTCACAGTTTTGGTCATTACCAATCTCTCGGCTACAAAAGTTTGTTACTGAAGTTTCATTCAATAAAGCGTCTTTATTTAGTTTCAAGTGTGTTCAATAATTAATTTTTTCTACTTTTCGCTCAAGCTTTAGTGGTGAAAGTGCTTTTTGCATTAAAGATGATGATGGCCTATTTCACTTACAGTACAGGGCTGGAAAGAATGTTTTTGCACAGCTTGAGAACGAGTCACTGTGCATTATGTGTATGCATCTGAGTAAAATGAAAAAGACAACAGCCAGCAGCTCAGTGAGGCTATAAGCATAAAGGTGCTTAAATGCCAACATAGTGAACTCCTGGTCAAAATTGACCTGATGATGCTCACTGATCACTTCGATTTAGGATGACATGCATGTTTATACTTGTTTTATGGCAAACAACCATCTAAACTTAAATTGCCAACCTAGTGAGCAATGAATTGAAAAAACATTAAACCAATCCATCTGTCCATCCATTGCTCAAACCATGTTCTAAACCACTTATCCAGCTCAGAGTGTTTACGCCAAACCATTTGAAATATACGGATATTTCCCAGGATACATGGAAATTTGAAAATGTTAGTTGTGCTTAAGGAAAATACAGATAATGATTGAAGTTGATCTCTGCTTCAAATGTTTAAAGCACTTCATCGGTAGTTCTCAAGACATTTTTCTATAAACCCAAATTTAACAAGAGGTATGCTGACCAACAGGAATACCTAGTATTGCTAGAATAGGTGTAGTAAATCACACCATTTCACTGTAAAGACAGACAGCTAAACAGTCTAGCTACTGTAAATCGGTAGGAACTGTACCTAAAACCACTGAACATATTTATTTATCTTAAATTTGGGTAGGTGAGACTGAATGTTAGTCATATAGTCACAGATAACAAAAAAAAAATATTCTGCTTGATGTTAAAATAACTTCACCACCATGTACAGTGGTAAAACCCAAACCACACCACAGGTTTCATTTTCCCCTAAAATTTAATGAGAAATGAAACTCTTCCTTTCACTGGTTTCAGTTGAATAATAACTTGTAACTCATCCAGCTGTGTTTTATAATACCATGGAATATCTGCCATACAACAAGAGTCAGAGTATTAAACTTGCTGTATCTTATTAAAGGCACCTCTTTACAGTAGCAATAGCATAAATGCACCAATAAGCCTTTTCACGATGTAGTAAAAGATGAAATATTTGGATGTTTGTGGTTTGTAAGAAAGTAGGAAGTGATGCCGGCTAATTCTACACACACTAGGCTAACACAGACACCTGTTACTTTCATCGACCACCTCAGGAATGTTTGTTAGTGTTATACTTCTTTCAGTACTCCATCGAACCAGACAAGACAAGTCAGAGCTGGACTCTTTTTTTTTGTTTTCTCACATAAACAATGTTTCTCCACCTGGTGAGT